GTCCGAGTTCAGAGACCCCAGCCACACATATAAACCATACGGCTCCGATTTCGGAGTCCCCGGCTGGTAGTGGTTAAGGTGTGGCAAAACAGTTTGATGTAGCTAATTAAATTAAATTAAATTAAAATTCAGATTAATCGGGACATTAACCCATGTACAGTATTAGTTGGCTTCAGTTCATTTAGAGTTGTTTCCAGCAGAGTTTTGAATGTTATAAAAGTTCACCGGAAATACAGCGAATTAGTTTGTCATTCATGTTCATCTGGTTGCAGACAGTAGCTGAAGAGCTCTGTGGGGCTTTTGTTGGCTGGAGGGTCGTGCTGTACATTGACCGCAGCAAGGAGGCAAGCTTCAAAAGGATTCTGTTGGCTGGAGGGGCCAAGGTCCTGGGCATGCGGCCTCCGTTTACCAACCTGCAAGACGTGACCCACGCATTTATGGACCTTCAGAAGACCAAGAATCCAGAAGGCGTGGTGAGTCCAGCAGGCAAATGTATTTGCATCTCTGTTATCTCTGATATTGTTTGAAATGTGATGGTATGTTAGCATGTTTGTTTTTTGTATTATTTTATTTAAACACTGACAAGTAGTTGTGAAAATAAGTCTTTTGCGGGGGGGGGTGTTATGGTGCCTACAACATGACAAATGTACTCTTTTGGCTTTCTTGCATTAAGATAATGTATGAGCTAATTATAATTCAGCTGTTTATGCATTTTGTTGAAATTTCTGTGTGGTGTGGTTAAAGGTTTTTTAATTGACTGGATGGAGACTTACTGCCAAATTCTTTTGCTTTTTTTTTTCAGCTTGACCTAGAAGCTATTGCCTCAGCTGGTATCCTGTGCTTGAAACCAGAATACATAGCAGATTTCCTCATGCAGGATCCTGCACCGGACCACACGAAGTACTTCATCAATGAAATCAAGCCGATTATGGAAAGGTAAGAGGCTCAATCAATGGCAACTAACCCTTTGTAAAACCAGACCATCTTTTCATCACTAACTACAGTGTGAATATTAAACTGTTGTAGTGAATAATGTTGAATAAGTGAAGATGTACATGTAGATACATTGAACATTCGAAAATAATTCACATTTTCTGCTTCTGTTAGAAATTGCGGTCAAAAATACAAAAAGTGAAATGCATTCCAGATTGACTGTATTCAGTATTCGTAATTGAGGACATAAATTTAAGTAGTGAATGTATCTGATATAATGCTGTAAGTCTGGTGTTTGATAAGATTTTCAACTTTTCTAATGAAAGTCTTCATTTCTCTGTCTTTGCTCCTAAGTTGAGATTTATTTACTGGCTAATCTACTGGAGTATTCAAGAATGTCATCCTCACTATAAGTCCCTCTGGATGATGTTACTTCATGTATTAATTGTAGAAAGTAATAATTCTTTGCATGGTTGTCTAACCATTTCATTGGATCTTGACTTCTTTGCAGCATTTATGAAAGTGCCCACCACTCGCGTAGTAGCCGAACACCATCAAAAAGGAAAAGACATGATGCCGTCCCGACACCAAAGAGTAAAAAGGGCAGAGTACGATGATATAACCAACATGCTGTTGACAGACTTAAGATTCATGCTCGGGGCAAGTGTCTTGGGGCTGTTGAAACAAAATGGAAGCAAATTTTGGAAAATTCCCCTGTAAAATAAAATTCAACTTTCAAGCAATTTTTTCCTAAGTGCAAACTGTACTATACCAACCACAAAAATGTAAACAAAGAAATTTCACAGAGTTGTCCAATTCCAAGTATATTGTTAGCATTGCTATTTTAACTTAAGAGAAATTCTCGTGCAGAACTGTTTGGCAGAGAACCCTTGTTAGAAGCTATTCAAAGAGAAAGTAGACCATTTGACACAAATGAGAGGATGTGATGACTGTCACAAGACTAAATGGAGGAGTGTCCCTTCAGGTGAAAGTTTAGAGTGAAATTTTTCTTACTGCAGTTCCCAGAATCCTATGTGACATTAACTAGATTTACTTGTCATTCATTTTGGTCTGAAAATTTACTTTGACCACTTGCAAGTTACGCCTCTCAATGAAAACTACTGTACTCTACACATGTGGACTGGCACGGAGGTCACTAGTGCATGTTTGTATGCCCCAAGGGACTACGAGTGACTGGAGGGGAGGGTCATATTTCCCAAAGGCCAAGAGAGATAGAACCCTCATCTGGTCACTTACAGGCCCAAAGGAGGCATGGACATCCACAAGAGTCTGAATTATGCCAGTCCATGTGTTTTATAGCACACCCTTCTAAAATTTAAATTGGAAAAACTACATGATTATATAACTGAACTGTTCTAACTTAACCATATAAGTAATGAACAATTCAACAGACACTTCAACAATTAACTTGGCTGTTTTAAAACTTTCCATGCATGTACATGTATAGAGACTCCTTACCATTGCATTTTTGGCTGACCAGTCTTGGAAAAATAGGCGTTGCACGTTTCATATAGTTTGTCTCTGGGCCTCACTCCAAGAAAGTTTCCTTGTTGGAAAGACAGTCACAAACCACTCATGACATCAGTTTAACAACAGGAAAGAGTAAATGTTAACATATAAACAACCATAATAGGCACTTGTATGGTTTTAGTATTGAAATGATGCTTGCAATTTGTTTTATTGGAATTTTAGGGGCATCCCAATTATGTTCTAGCTGAATTTTGCATGTTTGGTAAATGTTGACCCTTAGTATGTAATGTACAATATAATTTTGTACTTTTCAGGTATGTGCATTTGCTTTCCATTAACCATAAATTGATTATTTAAATTCCTAAAGAAATAAAGTAACAAAAGGAACCTTTTTTGACTGTGCTGTGTTCAATTTTGATTTAATGTTGAGTTGTACATGGGTGGATTGCTTATACTTTAATATTAAGTTTCATGTGAACTTTTGTTGCACAGAGCATTGTAACCATTATGTCCATGCCCTGTTTTTTGTAGGGGGATGCAGAAAATCATCGTGTTTCATGTCACCCACGAATGTGTGTGAACTTCTAGGGGCATAATGCTGTTCTAAGATGTGTTTTTGTGCTTGATAATTCTCACACCGGACAGGAATGAACGTGCATGTACGCATGTCCCCCCAAAACACCTTCGCGTATGTCGGCTTGAATTTCTGGGAAGTAGCGTCCTCTACCGTTACTTCTTGTCCGTGCTTGCCATGCGCCAGTGCAATGCATGTAATTTTAAATGTGCCCGATACATGCTCTAGCTCACTCAGTGGGGATACACTTGCAGTATTGCCCACTGGATGTGGGAAAAGCCTCATTTTTGAGATGTTGCCACTGATGAAATCGAAAACACCCGGGATCGCAACTTGTGACTCCTCACCCTTGCGTCATATCTATTTATATCCATGGGTGATGCGGGCCGTTTTCCAATACTCAACTTCGGCTCCGTCTCAGGCCTCAACTATTTTTTAACTAGTTAACGTTGAAGCTGTAAACGCAGTAATTAGTCTAATAGTGCCACAAAACATGTACTAAGATGCAAGAGAGCCAGAAATTACAGTAACCCAATTTAATTTAAACGCTTCAGTCCCACAATCGGGGATTGGTTTTGGGAACGAACCTTGAACGGAGCCCAATCGAGTATTGGAAAAGGGCCCTGACCAGGGAATCTATGGGCAGGGAACCAGACTAGCAGTGGTACAGCTGC